CATTTCCCTAATAGTTAATCATGTTGAACACTTTTTCATGCGTTTTTTGGCTATTTATACATCTTCTTTGGAGAAGTATTTGTTAAGATCCTCTGCCCATTTTTTGATTAGTTTGTCTTTTTATTGTTGAGTTGTAAGAACTCTACGTATTCTAGATACAAGGCGTTTATCACATATATGATTTACAAATATTTCCTCCCATTCTCTGGGCTATCTTTTCATTTTCTTGGTGATGTCCTTTGAAGCATAAAGTTTTTAATTTTGATAATGTCTAGTTTGTTCTTTATTTTGTCACTTGTGCTTTTGGTGTCATGACTAAGAAACCATTGCCTATGCCAACTCTCAGAGATTAACACCTATGTTTTCCTTTAAGAGTTTTATAGTTTCAGCTCTTATATTTAGGTCTATGATCCATTTTTTTTAAATTAATAGACTTTATTTTTTAGAGCAGTTTCAGGTTCACAGCAGAACTGAGCAGAAAATACAGAGAGTTTGCACATAGCCCTCCCCACCCACACATATATACTCCCCTACCCTCAACATCCCTCATCAGTGTGGCATATTTGGTACAATCGACAAACCAACATGGACACGTTATTATCAACCAAAGTCCATAGTTTACATTAGTATGATCCATTTTTGAGTTAACTTTTATGTATAATATAAGGTAGGGGTTCAACTGCATTCTTTGTACGTGGGTATCTAGTTGTTTTAGCACCATTTGTTGAAAAGATTCTCCTCTCATGATTGGATTATCTTAGGCACCCTTATCAAAAATCAATTGACCATAAAAATAAGGTTTTTTTCTGCACCCTCAATTGTATTCCATTGGCCTCTATGTCTGTTTTTATGCCAGTGGCACATTACTGTAGCTTTGGATTAAGTTTTGAATTTGGAAGTATGAGACCTCCAAATTTGTTCTCTTTGAACATTGTTTCGGCAATTTTGGATCCCTTGAATTTCTATGTGGATTTTGGGATCAGCATGTCAATTTCTGCTAAAAGCCAATTGGAATTTTGATAGAGATTGCACTGAATTTGTAGATCTCAATGTTTTGTTTTGTGCAGTTGCTTTGGGCACCAAAATGGTATCTTATGAATCTTTCTTATTCTTCTCCCAGACAACACAGTTATTGCTTTTAGTCCTGAGAGAGGGGGAGAATGGTTCACATAAACATTCATATAAATGTTAACATTCATATAAATGTTGGCAATTAAGTGAGTTTTTCTCTGCCTCAGTTTCCTCTTATGTAAAATGAGGCTGATGAGTGTATTTATGTCTACGGATGTTGTGAAGATTAAATGGGAAAATCCATATGATGCACCCAGCAAGCACTTAGTAAATGTTATACTTAGTAATAATTATACTCCAACGCATTTTCCATCTAGATTGATTCTCTAAGTCCTTCATCCATTGGCCTCTTCCCTTACTACTCTATCAGGTATGATCTGCACTCCAGGAAAACCTGTGTCTGATTCTCAAAATATTATAGATAATATTATAAATGCATATTCTTCCAACTACATTGACAGATGTTTGAGAGGTTAAACTTAGAAAATAAGAGGAATCTTTACAATATGTAGCAACAAGGTCGTTTTCCATGGAGAAAAGTATCACTTCTGGGCTCCAAGGAAGTAGAAGGTAAAGAAATAGCTATTGGAATATATATTTTTCAGTTCTTCAGAAATTCAGTTTCCTGGTCTTAGTAAACTGGGATGCCCATGACTTTACTGCCAGTCAGGAGCTAATAGAATCAGGAGAACCTGGGAATCTGCTGAGATGAAGTAGAGGTTATGTGTATTCCTTTTACTGTGAACTGAATGTCCACATGCTCTCACTTTAATACTCAGCTAGGTCTGTGCCTCAGTCCAGCCCCTTCCCCAAGTGTCTGAGAATTCCTAGATGATACCTGTTTTTTTCTGGCTTGTCACTTTTCACCCTGGTATATAGCTCTGGGCTTCCACACCTCTGATCAACCTAAAGAAGCTGACGTTATTATTTTATAACTAAAGAACCTTGTTAATATTATAAATGCAAACTGAACATTTCTTTTAGCAGACTGTCTTTTTTCTAACGTTGGAAATCTGATTTCTTACATTCACTTTTTCAGCTGACAACTGTAAAATACAATGCAATCCAGTGGTAGGAGAATGGATTTCCTCAACCGTTTACAACTTTTGCAAATGGTATAATAATAGTTTTTGATACAAGTCCTGCAGACTTTGAGGAGGGTGTTTATGGACAATAAACTAATGGGTTTGTGTGTGAGTGTGTGTGTGTGTGTGTGTGTGTATAACTAACCTCATGCTCATTTCTTCATTCTCCACCTCGTCCTATTAGCTGTTGTTGCCTTACCCATCCTCTTAAGCTTCTCTCAGATGTGCCCTATGCCATAAAACCTATCCAGACCCTCCCAGCCACATGTGAGATGACCTTCTTTGAACTTCCATATAAACAGAGGTTTATAAATCTCTCACAACACCTACTAGATGTCACTCTGTATGACAGTTATTTGTGAACTTACATTATTCCCTAACTATGTTGTGAGCTCCTGGAGTCGGCACACTGTGTGTTGTTAATCTCGGTGTATTCTCGCCTCCTTGTATAATTCTTTGAACATACTGGGTGTTTAAATATGTTTGTTAAATTAAATTTACGGCTCAAGGTAGAAGGAACTTAGCCAGACATCCGCTTAAATAGGTGGCCATTTTTGTGCATTTGATCTTCAAACATCTCTATTAGAGGCTTACTGTACCTGGCTCTGGGGGCGGGTGCTGGGGTTTACAATCCATGTAGGAGATACTGGTAAAAGTCCTCTTCCAGATAAGGAGATGAGGTTGATGAATCTGTACCACTAATAAAAGAACAAACCAACTAGAACTTCCTCATAATGTTGTCCTCAGGTTTCATGCAGTTGGAACACTTATTTAAATATTTTTCTAACTGAGACATCTCATTAAAAGAGTGAAAAAATTTAGATAATAGCTGAAAGGGGTCCCAAATGGATTAGCCCTATATTAAATCCCAGGCCATAGTCAATTGTCGTCTATTAAGACTTCAGTAGGCAATACAACTAGCACATAATACAATGGACAATCGTGTTTGTTCCTGAGGTAGTGTGGGTTCTTTACAGCTTAGTATTGCCTTCAGTGGGTCCGATTAGCTGGAACCCTCCACCCTGGGTAAGGGAAACTAGCTCTGCTCTAGGAGCCTAGGAAGATAGCATTTAATCCAGCAGGACAGTATGTGAGAGCAGTGCTTCTCAAACTGTCTGTGGTGAAGCACCAATTTATTTCTTTTCAATTCAGGTAGGCTAATAATTTTGTAAAATATGATAAGCATAAATAACTGGAAAAAATGAAATTTAAAAAGACATACAAAATTTAACGCCCATTTTAAAACTATTAGGTCCAACAGACTAAAATTGCTGAACGCCGCTTTGAGTAGTGCTGGTTTAGAGGGTCGGCTGCCCGACGTGCCCACGCGGGGGCTTGGCTCACCTGTCCACGTCGATTAGGAAATCTGTTTGACTAGAGTGAATGCTCAGGGGTAAGAAAGATGCTTGCGTCTCAAGGTGAGACCAGGCAGAAAATTGACCTCATTCTTCATTCTGTAGGATGAAAAGATTAGAGCAGGAAGGAGGAGTCTGCAATGTAATCGAAATGATACCTTTAGAAATAATTGTCATGTTTAAGATTGGCCGTAGGGGAAAAATGAAACACAGTAAGACTTTCAAGAACTAAGACAAACAATAAATACCTGGACAGATCTGAGGCTGCGGAAGTGAAGACGGAGCAGTAGCAGAAATATTTACTGAGTACCTATGATGTTCTTAAGGTAGTACTCAGCCCTTTACATATGCTATCTCATTCCATCTTTACAATGATCCTGTGTGGTAGTGTTATTAACCTCATTTTTCAGATGAGGAAACAGGCTCTAAAAAGTTGAGTAACTTGCCCCAAGGTCACTTCATATGAGTGGAGTGATTTTTAGATAGTTGGAGTGTGTAACCCAAAGCCCAGATTTCTTAGGTTCTTAAATGAGTGTCTAAATATAGAGGTTTTGGCAAGTCTTACTTAGCATTTTGAACCATGGACTTGAGGATTATCACTGTCCTTGGATACCAGATAGCTTGTTAACCCTTCTTTTCAGCACTTGAACTGTTTTTTGTCTACATTTTTAAGAGATTTGTTCTTGTGTAGAAGAGATGAAATGGTTTAACGAGAGACCATTCTGAGGGTTATGGTCATCTATGGAGCAAAGTCACCCTGTGAAGTAGATTGAACTGAGTATGGATGCTAACAATGGGCCAGAGATTCTCAATTCTAGTTTTTAAGTGGCGTTTTATCAATCTGATTCTAATCATGTAGTTCTGTAGTCCCTCCATTGTGTCTGATAAAGTATTTCATCTAGGCTGCTTTAAGTCCAGTTGGTGCCGTGGCTTTCCAAATGAGTTTACCCTCTAAAAGATTAATTCTATGAAGCATCTTTAGAGTGCAAGTTTTTTTATTTGTTTGTTTAAGAAGTAGAATAGAATGTGCAATTAGTCATACATGCTATTTTCCCCCCACACCAGAACTTAGAACAACAAGAGCTTGAATACATTGTTCTAAAGGACTATCCACTCCATCGCGCTATTGGCACCTGGTAAAAGTAACTCCTTGGGGAGCAGAGGAAGTCTTTGTTAAAATGGAGTACAGTGTTCATTGCCACTTGAATACATATTCCTTAATACATGACCCAAATGTTTGTAATCAATTTTACAATTTATATGTTCAGATTCAACCCTGTCATCTGTTCTTCATTGAAATGATCTATTTTTCTTTCATGTTACAGAAAATGAATTTTAATTTCAAAAGCAGATCCAATATTTTTGTTCCCTGAAGCAGCCAAGTATCTTTGAACTCACTCCTACCTTTAGCAAGAGAAACACTGTCCTTGAATATAGTTCTATACCAAACATGAGAGTTAAAATTCACCATCTTTTCATTTGGGTAGAGGCATTAATCTAACAAAGTGGAGGAAGAGTCTGTAATAGGTTTTATCAGCTTTGTGAGAAGAAAAAAAGAATATCAAAATCAACTTAAACCTATCTGCACAAAATAAATTAAAAATTATTTTAACTTACTAAAGTCAGTGTAATAGTATTGTTTTTTTAATAATAGTATTATGTTTTTCTTTTTAGTGCTTAAGACATTTTGGGTTGTGTTAGCTGAAATAGTTCATAAGGATTTTTTTTTCCTTGAAGAACAAGATTATCCAGAAGAGTTGTGGTCTTTTTTTCCTCTTGGGGGAAATGAGTGTGTGTCTGTGGAACAAAGTTCTACAGTCCCTCGTTTCTTCCATGAACACATTTGTGTCGCTGCAGGGCTGTCCCCAGATTACTGCTTTTGGACCAAGGACCACCCCTCTGAGCTGAGCAGTCAGCACTGCGGCACTGCATGTTAATGAATGGTGATGAGCTCAGCTTTGAAAAACACCAACTGGGTTATCTCTTCCTTTTCAACAGTAAATAAAAATGAAAAAGCTGCATTTCGTATTAATTAAAAATACTGTTTTCATAGTTTGTCTCTGAGCATACATTGAGATTTTTGAGAGCTGAGATGAAAATATCCCTTTTATATAAGCTGGCTTTTGTATAGGTTCAATTTTTAGATAAACTCCAAGGATATGTAAGAAGTTGCATTTAAGAAAAGCACTTCTCTTCTACTTTTCCAGCTTTCTCTGGGTGACATTTTACCTGTCTTGACTTTGGCAGAGGGAACTGCATTGTAAAATAGAAGCTTTGGATAGTATTTATGAGTCTGTTTTTTGTGCAATAAATATTATGACATATATATGTATATATATGTATATGTATATATATACATAAATATATATATATATATATATAAATGGACAAGAATAAATCCTATGTGGTTCTTTTTCTTTTGGAACTATAAATCTTTTATAGAATTCTTTTATAATTCTGCAGTTCTGCCTCAGACTCCCACAGTTTCAAAACAACTCGTCTTTTGCATTTCCATAATATTCATTTAGAATAAATGATCTTGTTGCTATTCATAATAGAAGAAAGTCTTTAGCTTGGTGGTTCAGATCTAATTAAACAGAAACAGCTAAGTTTGGGGCTAAGGTAAATGGGGTATAGAAAGAGCACAGAATCCTCCCAATATACATAAACATATTCTATTAGACTAGTCTTGCCCTGGGACCTCGCTCAGTGGACTTTCAAATACGTACGTAATAAGCCTTCCGATTTAAAAATATTTAACATTTTTTCATGTACTGATTAACTCAAAATACAAAAAGTGTAGTATCACCAATCGTGCATTTTGTAGGATTCATTTTAAAATTCAGGCTAATGTTTAATAATAGTATTTCAATTAAATTATGGCATTTGACAAAGGTTATCCTTCTGGGGAAAGATTACATAAGCATGCATTTTGGGAGAAGACATGTTTGGAAAACAACAATGAATAATTCATATCCCGTGCAGTTCTTTTTTAATAGTGAAAAATAGCAGGAGTATAGAAATGTTTCATTTCACTTTGTAATACGTACTTCAGGAGGTTGATAAAGTATAATGCCCATAAGGTAATGATGACATGTCTGCTGTAAGGCATTGTTATACTCATAAATAACATTTCAGGCAATGCTTTCTAGTTTGTGAAGTGATTTCCTTTAAGTTATTCCTCATAGCAACCCATGTGAGGTAGATATTACTATCCCCATTTTGAAATGAGGAAAGTTACATTACCTGCAACAGCAATGATAGTCATGGCAACCATGAAAACACACCTTCATACCCATCACTGTGTGTGTCCTGACACTGATGTAGTGAGGATGGCGAGGGACCATGTGGTAGCACAGGAACAGCAGGTCGTGGATATACAGGAAGAGAGACATACTTTTCTAATAGAAGGCACTCACCCCACACCTCTTCTTATTCCTCCTTCTTTCTGGGGGCAATGGATGTGGCAGCCTTTCTTCCCAGACTTCTTCCTTTCATTCCCAAGTCCATGCCTGGCAGGGAGCATGGGGACAGCCCCTGATTTAAGACACTTTGGTTTTAGAAGTGACTCCTTTTATCACTAAGTGTGTGGGTCACCATAATTACAATTGTTCGGTAGACTTAGTTTACGGTGACTTCTTCTTGACTGGGGAACTGAAACCAGTGGCGTGAATTTTGTAAGACCACCATGCTTTCTTTCTCCTTCTTGTTCACGTCCCAGGGCTGAGGACAAGAAGATGAAGATTGTATATCATACCCGTCAGTTAGAGACTGAGCTACCCAGCCCATGGAGGGGAACTCTTACTTCCTGAAAGGAAACTGCTAACAGCCATCTCTCTTTCTTTCTGGTTCCCTGAACTACAATGGTGACGATTCACCAGAGGAGAGCATCAGTAAAATACGCTTTTTAGTCTTGTCCTTACTATGTGTACCTACTTGGATAGACTGTAAACTATCATTTTGCAGATAGTGGCTTAAATTATTTTGTGCCGGTTGATTCCAGTTTACTTTGCATTCAGACTTGCCCTTGATTTAGCCTAGGAAGAGGAACAATCTCTGCTTTTCTAGATGATAAAAGTACAGTCACTGGGATAACTTGTATTATTTCCTGCTTTATCTAGGTAATTAAATCAGAATTGCATATATTTGTCCACGGGTGATAGTTGATGGTGGAATGCCGTTACCATAGCAACAGGCTACATTCTTGGTTGCTACTAACTGCCTCCAGAATTATGAGCTCAAGGAGGTTTTCCTGCTGACAATGCATAGTGTTTATAGAAAATGCAAAAAGGGCTCCATCAGAGCTGCTTCATTCAGAACCAGCAGCTCACTGGCTGCAGTGGCTGAGACAGATGTGTTAGAAGAGCCGACTAGGGACTTACCACCACTGACAAATGCTGTGCTGCTCCCTGGCTTCTAGGAGATGGAAAAGGTAAAGTGGGCTTTGGCCTTGGGATGTTTCTGTGGAAAATGTAATAGCATGAACACCTGGTTTCCTCCCTTACTTCTTCATTCGACTGCCCACTGGATCATTTTAATTACCTTCCAGACGTAGCCAAAAAAGAGAATGAGGCGGCTTCAATGAATTCTTATGGTCATATCATATTCCTTTCAAGGATAAATTTAAGTTTTTTAGCCTTCGTTATTCAGATAAGTCGCATGTATTTTGTATGAAATGGATGATTCATCTTTTGGTATTTAAATCACTAAGTTTGTTTTATCTTGATATCACAATACTCTAATATAAATGTTCTTATTTTTAAAAAAAATTACATCTTATGTAAGTGCTTATCTGATCCCTAACTACTGGGCAAATGGGTCCATTTCTCTTTCTAAATCGTGATTTGGATATTTTTTCAAAAAAAAAGCCAAACAGCTCATTTAAAATAGAACATCTCAGGTTTATGGTGAAGCTTTACGGTAGGTTCAAGGCATGTAACACTTAGCAGACCTGTACAAGTGACACTAGTGGTTGCCATTTAGATAAACACACTTTCCTTTTTGAAAGTGCTTCATGATGAGCAATATTTGTCCTACTGTAGAATGTTTTTCCAGCCAAGCAACTCATTTTCTAAAGGACTTTTCTTTATCATCCCACTGATGTCATTAACTAAAAATGGTTCCTAGGCCGATATTCTGTAATATTTTTCAGCCAGGTGATCACACATCATAATCAGGCTCTTTCATCTCCTCTCCTCTACCCGGGCTGTGCCCTAGCTGCACTGAGGACGTGCGCCATTGTTCTCGAAACCCAAGCGTTCTCACGTCTCAGTGACTTTGCACACACTGTCCCCTCCGCTTGCCTGGAATGCACTCCCTGCCCCTGCTCTCCCAGACCTGTTTGCCTGAGGAAAGCCTGGCTCAATTCAGCTCCAGCATTACCACTCCCGTCTTAGGGACACCTGGGGCATTTCCCCATTGGGGACATGTCTGTTTCACCATTACAGAGTAAGTGCTTTTTCTCTTTTGTGTTCTCGACACCTGGTGTAGTGCCTGGTGCTCAGTGAGAGTTGGGTGAATGAATTCAGGGTCAGAGAGAGCCCATGTCATTTTAATGTTTTTTTTTTTAATTCCTTTATACTGCTAAAGGAGGGAGGAAGGGAGGAACTCGCGTTTGTGTTAAATAGCATGCTGAAATTGTGAGTCAGCCAACTTTGGACAGAACTGTGAAGTCGATGAAGTAGCTGCTTCCTTGGGCTTCCCTTGTAGGGCTGAATTCATGCATTTCACTGGGGACTTAAACCTTAAAGCAAGATAATAAATTAAGTATAGACTATTTTGGGGCGTGAGGGGTGGATTGTGGAATTTCTGGGGGCCCTGAAACCAGCCCCATATCCCAGGTGTGCAGATATCTCTATGTAATGACACCAAAAGGCTGAAAGATCTGTTAAGAATAACAGAAGCCACACTTGTGGAGTAAGAATCACTGGTCTATGTGTTTTACTCTGAAGAGTCTATAATATGAACTGTAAATGTTTTTTGATGGGTTTTCAGTTTTCTTCCTCTCTAGGGAGCTGGTGGTAGCCCTGGCTGAGTAGCCAGGCATCATTCTCTGTCACGGTCTGGGTTGAACTCTCTTTTTGGTTTGAACCTACATCGCCAATTTGCAAGCCTTCAAAAGGGGATGTCTGCCCCTTGCTTGGGAGCCTTAATTACAAGTCACAGAAAAGTAGAAAACCCCTCATGTTTTACCGATGTGCTTGCTCAGAGCAGGCTCAAATAGTGGATTCCCCACACTGGACTTGTACAGAAGGCTGTCCTTCCCGTGAAAATGCTTGGCGCCGTGCTTGTTGTCCACATCATGGTGTTGCCACTCTGTGCCCCTTTTCTTTTCCATGGTCTCTTGATTAGATGCCTTTTCTCTCTGTGAGACGAACATGGTTTGTGTGGTGTGGCAATAGACGGGGTGTTTTAAGCTGTTTCTGAGGGGAGTGCCACTTCCTATTTATAACTCCAGTTGGAAGTGAGTCTCGCGTTGCATAGAACCTCAGGTCTACAT